TGAAATAGTGTGTGCTCCCACTCGGACCTTCGAAGTGCAGCCATTGCTTTTATCAATGCAAGCTTCGAGGGTCTTTCTTGCTGAAGTAGAGTGTGTGCTCCCACTCGGACTTCCGAAGAACAACCCTTACTTTTATCAGTGCAAGCTTCGAGAGTGTTTTTTGTTGAAGTAAAGTGTGTGTTCCCACTCGGACTTCCAAACAATAGCCCTTGCTTCCATTAGTGCGAGCTTTGAGGATCTTTTTTGTCAAAGTAGAGTGTACTCCTACTCAAACTTTTAAGGGATAGCCTTTACTTCTATTGATTGCCAAAGAAGAGAGTGTACATCGACTCAGACTTCCGAGGGGCAGCTTTGCCTCCATTTGGACTTCCGAGGGACAATCTGTACTTCTGTTAATATGAGCTTGGTAGACTCAGTTGCCTGCCAGAAGGGATTTTTTCTTGCCAAAGTAGGGTGTATGCTATTTTCGGACTCCTGAGGGACAGTTTTGCTTCCATTTACACTTCCGAGGGACAACTCTTGCTCTCATTAGTACGGTTTCTGAGGTCCCCGAGGTTGTGGATTTTTGCACAAAAAAATTTCACTTTCCTTAAATAGTAAAACCGACAAACCAGATAAATAATATCGAGTTCACATTATGATTCATGCATTATCAAAATGGGGCAACATCAACAAATAATAATGATATATTTAAGTTACAACAATTCTATTCCTCCGAGCAAGTTCACGAGAATGCAACAATCAAGGTTTTGTCTATTCGGGTCGATGCCTCTAAAGCCAACGCAAAGTAGCAATGTTCAAATAAAATTTCAGCATCAACTATATTTCTCGAGCATCCACAAGATCAACAAAACAACAATCAAGATTAACACTCAATTTATGGTAGATTTCTCAACACAGGGCCAAATTCCAAAACATGAATTTCAAAACTACATTTCTCTTACAAATCAAGATTCACCAAGAGCTTTATTTCCCTCAATAACAAAGCACTAGCTATTTCAGAAGTGAAGAACACAAATCCCAAATATATATATATATTTGCAAGCCCAAGTTCATGAACAACAAAATATATATATATATATAAATTCAAGAATGGGGTTTCGACGAGCACTTCCTCACAAATCTAAAGAAGTAAGAAAAGAAAATGGGTCAGTAATGAGCAAGACCGACTCTTGCAATAAGCGGTGAGTAGATGGTTAGATAGAGACAGCGCAGGTCAGACGCGAAAAAGCAGCAAGCGGCATGGGTTGTAGGTTGCGAAACATGAAGGCCGTGCAGACAAGATTGTCCATGCATGGCAAGACCGTGATTGGTTCTCTTGAAAGCCGACGGCACGCTGAATGGCGCTGGGCAGGCCGGTGTTGAGATAAAGTAGCGGCGTCGGTTGGTGGTGGCAAAATAGACGTCACTGGAGGGTAGAGACGCAGTAGTGAGCAAACGGCGAAGCAGAGCTCCGTTGAAGATGGAATCTGAGTCTCTCTGTTAGAGAGAGTGGCCTGAGAAAAGTGTTTTGGCAATGAAAAAAAAAGGGGATAAGGACTAGAATTTGTCCTTTGTATAAAGCAAAATGTGTGTGATACTGATGGTTCCCTCAAATAGCTAAAGATATATATATATATGTATAATGCGTCTCCAAGTTATTGTTTTCTTTTGATTGGGAGAGAAAAAGGTTTCTTTTCAAACATTAATGAAATGATTTGGCATTATCATATGATGGAGGATTTAAGCAACAAGGCTTTAAAAAAATTTGAAAAAAAAAAATTGTGTGGGCCCAAGCAAGATACATTTTAGATCGGAAAAAAAAATCAAGTTTTGATTTTCTTTAAAAATAAAAATAAAAATAAAAATCAAAGGGCACAAAGGTGTGTTAGCCAAACATGGCATGAAAAAAATAAAAATAAAAATTTCATTTTATCTTTATTAGTTGTCAATCTTATCCAAAAAATATGATGAGGCATCAATCTTATCCAAAAGTCACATAAGGACAAAATATTCCTGAGGGTGTGATGCGAAGCATGGCCAAAGAAGTGAAAATATGCATGTCTGAAAAATTCAAATTTCCCATACATGTAAGGGGCAAAATGTAAGAGGGGTTAACTTGAGCCCACTAAAATAATTGGGCCCAATCGAAAGCCAATCAGAAAGCCCACAAATTGATGAGCTTGGAGAAATTATTTCCAAATGGGTCCAAGTGAATTCTATTAAACGGGCCCATAAGAAAGCCAACAAATTGGGCCGAGGAAGACCCATCAAATAGAAATCTCTAAAGAGAGTCCAACAAGCCCATCCGAGGAGGCCCAGATCATACGGGCGTCCGAGGAGGTGAACCATTGCTTTCAAAAGAGATGAAAACCTTAGAAGAGATCCATTCTCCGAGGGATTGGCTTAGTCTTGAAAGGGTTCGGAACCACGAACCTAGAGACCTATTTGAGCTTGGAGTCGAAAGGGTTTGGGTCCACGAACCTAGAGATCCAAAAGTGTTTGGCATTGAATGGATTTGAATGCAATCTAGAAGTCGCTTCGTTAATGAGTCCCAGAACACTGGCGGGCTTGGAGCTTTCCGGGATCTACGCACCAGAACCACAGGCATGACGGAGTCCGAACAAAGGACCCGATCTCGAGACGGTGAGTGAAGATAAATTCATTCTTCGATTAAACTAACCTATACCCAGGTCGACGTGGCATGACCTAGGGGTTCCTTGAGACTCAGCAATATTTGTGGCAGGGCGTTCCCTTGAACTACCCCTGACCCTTCTGTGGTAGGGTGTCCTTTGGGACTACCCCTGACCCTTTGGGATGATTGGAGATCATTGGTTAGGTGTGGCTAAGAAGAAGGGTTTGCCGAGAGGTTGATCTCCTCTTCGGGGTTTTCCTCATCCTCGGAGAGGTCACCTCCTCGGACAAGGTGGTTAGAAAGAATATTCCCCATGTGCCTTGCACATGGGCTCCATCATACATTATGAGGTGCCTATAAATAGCACCTACCCATAGCTTTACAAGAGATGGATTTTGGAGAGAAAACTCTTGGGAAATAACTAATTTCCATTCTTTATTATCAACCTTAAGAGTGAAAGTGGAAGATCCATGGAAGAGCCTTGCCATTATTCTCTCTCTAATTGCTTTGCCTTCTTTTTCACCCATTCTCTTATCTCCATCATCTCCTTTCTTTTGTGTTCTTAGTTGAGACTATTGAAGAATCTAAGCCTCTCATCATATCTAGAAAATTCGAATTTTCTCTTCAAAGATCTTCGAATTTTCCAACGACGTTCTTGAACCATTTCATACAGATATATAGAGGTTTCATTATAAAACAAAACAGGTATAATTCATAAATATGAATTTATGTATAAAAATGTTATTATCATATTATTCTTGTGAAAAATTTTGCATGAAAAACGTATCTTTATATAAAAAGTTATTCATATTAGTTCGCAACTAATAATGTAACAAAAAAATTTACGAATGAAATAATGTTAGTTTACATTTGTTAAGTAGTTAGGACATTTTCAATGGTTCATCTTTTTTTAATCAAATTTGAATAAAAGTTCAATTTGATATCAAGTGTTCCAACGGAGATTTTTAAGGCTCCATTGAAACACCGATCGACCTAGCATACGACCGGGTAGATGTCTAGCTGATCGACCGGTCAGTGTAATTTTTTCACAAATTTTTATCTTGAGGTAGTCATCCGAGGGAACATCCGGTGGTGAAAATCTAACAGATATGAACAATGATTTGATGAAAGGCATATATATCCTCAATTTGATGAAAGATTTGAGAAATCCTGAATTTGATGAAAATTTTGGTGATGGGTTAGAACAACAAAAAGTGAGTTTTTTTTTATCAAATTTAAATTTAATGGACCATTGAAAATGGTTTTAAAGACAAGATATGAACCAACCTAACATATTTTTATAATTCTTAGACTATTTATGCAATGCCACACGATACTCTAGAACTATAACTCAAAAAAAAAAAAAAAATTAAAAATAAATCCTACGTACCAAGTGACCATAGTATGACAAAGGAACCTTTTGCATGTCCAAGTATTACTATTTTTTTTTTTTTTTGCTATCAATCATATTTTACCTCTAGTAATTTTAGTAAAAATGTTAACATCTATAAAAATATTCAATTTCATAACATCAAACAAAGTGAATGATGCATTAGCATAGTAGACACAGAAGAAAGAAGTTTTGAGTTTAGAAGTGGGTTTTTTTATGGGAACCAGTCCAACACTTTGTGAAACCGAGATCACTTACCTCTCTCAGTGCTTTCATGTTAAATTTAGGTAAATTATGCTTTGTCTCCTTAAAGTTTTACCTATTTCTCATTTTGACCCTCTAAGTTTGATTTTTTTTTTTACTTTAACCTTTTATGTTAACAATCCTTTCCATTTTGGTCCTTCATGTTTACAATCATTTCCACTTTGACCCTTTAAGTTTGATTTTTCTCACTTTAACCCTTCATACTTGTAATTGTTCACACTTTAGCCTTTCATGTTTGTAATTCTTCCCACTTTACTTCTAGATTAACTTTCATCAAAAAAAGTAACGAAATTTATCACATCACTAACATATCAGCTCCATATGTGATATAAAAAATTCACTAAATATGCAAAAATAAAAAATAAAAAACAAAAAAATTGGAATTTTTTTTTGTCTTTAGTGAATTTTTTTTTCTCCAAATTTATTTAGACATTATTACATTATAGATGCATCTAGATTAGATGCAGCTAAAAAAATAAAAACAAATTTAACTAAAAAATAAAAAAGTTTACTAAAGATGAAAAAATGATAGTAAATTTTTCATTTCAGAATTGACAATACAGGTATTTGAATCAGTATATTTTTTATTTTTTTCGTCTTTAGTAAACTTTTTTCTTTTTTTTAATTAAATTTGTTTTTATTTTTTTAGTTGCATCTATAATGTAATAAGTGATATCAAAGTCTACACCATCTTCTTGTTTGCCCAAGAAAGCACTTGAGGCCTTGACATACCTCATGAGGACTCCATTGTACAAGTCTAGGACACACAATGCTTTAGGCTCCAAATCAACTAGTTTTTGCACATCTTGAATGAAGCTCTTGACATTGGATAAGCTAATACTGAATGCGGTTTGGTGGAAGAAGAGTCCCTTAACCCTATGGTCCCACGGGCACATTGTGATCTTTCTATTCTCATGGCTATCAAGGCAAGTTCCTGAGGATTGGAGGTGGTTGTGATACCCAACCACTGGGTACCCCGTAAATATAATACCTGTTAAAAATATGAAGGGTTAATATTAATTTTTATGCCCTAAATTATTCACTCATTTTTCAAAAAAAAATTTATTTCTAAACTATTTTCAACTATTTAGCCCTTAATTTTTTTTATTTCAATTCATATGATCTAATTGGATATTGTCCGTTCAAATTAGTAATGATAAAACCTAATGTGCTGATAAAACCTAATGTGCTTTGATCCTATATTAAATTGTGACATTAATCCATGGCCTTGTTACCTAATAAAATGGAGGAAGCACTTGGGTGTTTGTTTGGAAGAGATTGCGAGTTCAATCCTACAAGAGCTAATATAACAAAATTGATTTTCATCGATAAAAAAAATATTTGTTGCATTTAAAAGTTTAAATTAATTAGAGATGAGATAGTTTTACTCATTCATATCCTCGACAAACAATAACAAAAGCAGATGACACAACATCTTAAAGTGAGGAAAAAAGAACCAAAAAAAGAAAAAAAATAAATAAAAAGAGAAAAAAAAGGATAAATTATGCAAATGGTTCATATAGTTTATACAATGTATTAATTTGGTCTATGTTGTTTTAATTTTCTCGATTTTACCTCTTAATTTAACGGATTGTGTCATATTAGTCTAATAAATAACGACTATTAGATTTGGTGGACTGAAAGTCAAACGATGTGTCAATTTGGTCCCTATTGTTTTAATTTGATCGATTTTGACAGGGACCAAATTTTTACATTGTGTAAATTATAAGGACTAAATTAACACATTGTATGACTTTCCGTCCAGCAAATCTAATAGCTATTATTTATTAGACTAATATGACATAATTCGCTAAATTAAGGGACAAAATTGAGCAAATTGAAACTATTAGGTCCCTTGTTCTTGTCAATCCCGCGAACAACTTTGTTAATTGAGTTGTAATATTTCCTTACTGTTTTGTCTTCCTCGCTAGAGCGAAAGAGTCCTCACTCAAGCGAAGGACTGCGTCTGGCTTAAAACCTGAAAAAGATGAATGTGCGCTCGAGCGAAGACTTTGTGGCTCGAGCGAAGAACTGCGTCTGCATAAAACCTGGAAGAGTTGATTTCTCGCTCGAGCGAAGGTTTCGTGGCTCGAGCGAAGGCACTTATGGAAATCATGCGAGTTAAGGTTCTCGCTCGAGCGAGCTTCTAAATCCAGGATTTCTATAAGTAGCGGTTTTACTCCAAAACTAGGATTACTTTTCAGATCTACTTTGAGGTTTTCTAAGGTTTTCTTTTGAAGAGTTTTTGTGAGTTTTCCTTGATAAAATTGAATGAGTATTAAACTCATGAATTGAGAAGCACATATCAAGGAGGTTGACTGAATACATACAAGTGTGTTATTCTTCGGTGGATTTCGAAGATTCAAACGTAGAGTTTCTAAGGCGTTTGATTCTGTACGTAGTTGTTGATTCGACAAGTGAAGTTGTGGATTCAACTTCAGATTAATCAGTTCTGAGACGAAGGCTTGGTGAAAGGGTTACAGAAGGTGTGAAGACAAATTGACTGAGTTGTGTAATTTGTGTATTATCTTTGTAATCTTTCTTTCTTCAGTAGTGGATTGTTTAGTGGCGTTTCGGCCGTGGTTTTTTTATTACAATTGAAGGTTCTTCAATTGTGGTTTTTTCCACGTAAAAATCGCTTGTGTCGATTTATTGTTTATTCAGAAAAACAACAATCTAAATCACTTTCGTAAGTGCTTGATGATTTAGATTGCGTGTTTTGAATAATTGGGTTTTGGAATATTTTTATCTTGATCTAATCACGAATCACTTAGGATTTTGAATTGGTACCAGAGCGGGTCACTCTTTGTTTTTATCAAAACTATAAGAGTGTGATTTTGTGTGACTAGTGATATGGATTCTATTCGTGAAGGTAACTCGACCCATACACCTCCTTTACTCGATGGTACAAACTATTCTTATTGGAAAGCTCGCATGAGAGTGTTTTTAAAATCCATTGATGAGAAAGTTTGGCACTGCGTGATTTATGGGTGGAGTGAACCTATTGTCACCATTGATGGTGTTGATATTCCTAAACCCCTTGATAAATATGAATCAAAAAATGATATGCACTACTATTCTTGGCATAACCAATGAAAATGCAATCAATGGTCTTAGGACCTATCTTAGTCTTTTTAGGACTAGGAATAGCCACTTTAGCCAAACACCCCCACACTTTTAAGTATTTGTAGGATGGTACTCTTCCATGCCACAATTCATAAGGTGTTTGATTCACTTTCTTTCGGGGTACTTTATTAAGTATATAATTAGCAGAAAGTATTGCTTCCCCCTACAAGTTCTGAGGTAATCCAGAACTTATTAACATGGCATTCATCATTTCTTTTAAAGTCCTATTTTTCCTTTCAGCAATTCCATTTTGCTGAAGTGAGTAAGGAGTGATGGTTTGATGAATTATTCCATGTTCTTTACAATATTTACTAAAAGATGATTCATATTCACCACCTCTATCACTTCTAAATTTCTTGATTTTCTTACCAAGTTGATTTTCAACTTCATTCTTATATTGAATGAAAATTTCCAAAACTTCATCATTGGTTCGAATTAAATAAACATAACAATATCTAGTATAGTCATCTATAAAAGTGATAAAATATTTTTCCCCACCTCTAGTTTGAATTGATTTAAAATCACAAATGTCACTATAAATTAATTCAAGTGGTTCCGTACTTCTTTCAATTGAATGAAAATGAGTTTTGGATAATTTTGTCTCAACGCAAATGTCACGACCCAAACCTGCCCCTATAGATTTAGAATCGTAACAGGCCAGTAATCCTGGGATTACCGAAGGCCTCAAAGACAAATTAACATAATATTAGGGGCTAGCGGAAGCAAATAACAAATATACAACGTCCATTGAGCTGTGCAGACTTATATGAGACAGACAAATTTTAAACTTTTTATGTACATATATACACATCATCCTTACGTCATAATATATATACAGATTAGATAAAAAGGGACTTAGCCCCATTTACAAAATACACAAGACTTGTTTAACCAAACAAGAAAACAAAACTTAAACTTTAAATCACATAGCCATAGTTACTTGACATATCCGGAACCTCCACGGGAGGCACATATGTGGGCTGACAAAAATAGATTCCGAGCAGATGCCTCTAAGCCTGGTCACGTGCCTGTTCACCAACATACATAAATAATACAGTGAGCTAGAGCCCAGTGAATAATAACAGAGTAAAGGGTTTTAATGAATGATGTCCATACCAGATTCAGAAATCATAATTCAGATTCATAGACAGATCCATATTCATATTCTTGTTCAAATCAAATACAGAAATTAGAGTTCATGCTTAATCAAACGTGGTACATCCATTAGCGCTAACAGAATAGATACAGAACAGATGCAGAACATATGGTAGTCATGAATAACCAGTTCCATAAAGGAACATCCGAATCCGAGTAACAGAGAGAAAACATGCTGAGCCCCATGATGGAGCCTCCGGTACGGGTAATAGAGTGCAAACATATTAAGTTCTATAATGGAACCTCCGATACCAGGTAACAGCTAACAGATATCACATGATGCTAAGGATGCCATGAATACATTATAAAAAATTGGACAATCATTTATTGTACAGAACATATCATTTCAAAAAATAGATCTTAATTCATCATACAGAAAATAAATAAAGTTGAACATAGCTTTACTAAGTTATTATTCACAGTGTTCTGGTGCTTGATTCGTCCCTGCGTTTAACCCTACATAATTCATAACACATTGGGTTATATTACAATTCATTCCATTCTTTAACTTGTTTAACATTCTTAGGCTCCTTTCATGTTCTTTAATTCATTTTTAATGTTTAATGCGTGCCTAAGAGTGTTTTGAAATGAAAGAGAACGGAAGACGAAGTATAAAACATCTTTTCAAAATTTCTGAAACAGGGCCCTCTGCTTGAGTGGATCCCTTTGGTCTGCAAAAGTACTGGTTGCTTGCAAATTACGCTCGAGTGAGACTTTTGATGCTCGAGCAAGGAGTCTAGTAAAACAGGGTACGCTCGAGCGAGACTCTCTACGCTCGAGTGGACATGTCGAATTCTAGGTTTTTCTAGATTATGTTTGAGCTTCAAAACTTGGTTCCAACCAATGTAATTAATATCATAAGACTCATATTTCCACATATAACTTTTAACATGAATATAAGGGCCAATTTTACAAGATTTGAATCTCAAATTCACATAAATCCATTTTATAAACTCGAATCATATCAAACCCACTTCATAAGTTCAAAGCTCATGCAATTTAATTTCCATATCATTTTGAAATATAAATGAATGTGAAATATGGGCTTCATTTTCAACTTAAATAGTACAATTGATGATCAACTTCATGAAATTCAACATTATCATGCTTGCGTGTGCCAAATAACCTTCAATTCATTATAAAATGCATGCTTGTAATCAAATATGCAAACTTATGACAATCCCTTACATGCATGTACAATTAGAATATTAAAACTTGTAGAATTTGTCCATTCATGTAGAAATTAGACTCAATTCATGCATAATATTCCAAGATCAAACCCAAAATAATTAATTTCTAAATTAATTTTCATAAATTTGAACATAGCTTCAATTTCTCATTTTCTTTTTGATTTCATAAAATTAACCTCAAGTTCTTTCTATTTTCCTTCAAAACATGAAATTAAAGTCATGAACTCCTTAGAAAATCATTTGCATGCATGAAACATTTATCAAAATCCAACCAATTCTACATAGTCATGCTCAATCCATAATTAAAATCTTAAATTGTTCTAATTTAGATTTTTATTAATTTTTCTCATATCAAACCCAAATTCAAATTCAAACTAACTACTTTCCAAACTTATTTTCTTAAATCATAAATGTTCCAAAATATATTTAATTTGAGTTAAACTCTTAAATTACATTACATGCATGGGTTAGGGATTTAAAATCAAAACATCATTTATCTTCAAGATTAATTCTAGATTTC